TGGCCTTTGTTCTTTGCCACCATGTCTGGAACGAACTGCTGGACCAGTCGCCAGTGCGAGAGGATGTTTACGTCGAAAATCCGGTTGAGGAACTCGCTTGGGGTCTTTAAAATTGTATGAGAGCCCGTGATGCCGGCGTTGTTGACGAGGATTGATGGATGCCCCAGGTCTTTGCGGATTTTATCACCCGTTTCTGCTATAGCAGTAGGACTGGAGATATCGCACCGGAAGTAGTTCAGTAGGTGATTTGATGCAAACTCCTCGGGTGCGTCTTGTATGTCGAGCACTGCTACGCGGATTCCGTGTGAAGTGAGAGCTTCTGCGACGGCCTTCCCAATCCCACTGCATCCTCCAGTAACGACTGCAATTTCAGAGCTCCAGTTCCAGCCATGGCCTGCGTGTATCTGCCAGTTATTTGTAGCCCATGAGTTGAGAGCTGCATTGATCCTCCTGACGACACCCACTGCAGTTAGAAAACCTAATATGCGTATGGGGGTGTGTAGGTCGTTGACGTGTAAGAGATATTTTGATTCCAGGGCGCTTCTCCACATGTGTTCTGGTGTGTACCGCAGCAAGCCGAGAATTGGACCGGTGACTATTGGTTCAAGCGCATATTTGATGATGAGGGCTAGCCCCCTGAGAGGGAGTTCCAAAATTGCAGACATGTATTTCTTAGCAGTTTGCCGACAGGAGAAATATGTTTACCGAGGCATTGGCAGCGTCAAAACTTAAAGCGCGGATGTTACGAGGTGAGGTATTCCGGTGTAAATGGTACCCTGCTTGAGCGACTAGGCCGTGCCTGTTATCCGGCCTCAGGAGAAACCGAAACCACTTTAGGGTAATTCCCGATGGGCCGCGGCTTTGAGTTTTAGGTTTACTAATAGGAGCCGGAGATTTCTTAGTGGGGCCATAGCATGTACCCAACTATTGTATGAACACCGCAGCTTCAGGGATCTACTGATCGTAAATAATCGGAGATCCAGTATCTGGGTTTAGGCTGTAAGTCGGAAACATTGGTTAGAGTGCTTACGAAAACGATTCCGATTGTCCGACCCAGCATATTCGGGCATGGTACTTCCTAGGACTCACCGCTACGAATAAAGTTTGTGAAGTTGTAAAATATTCAAGCAATGGATCTTACACCGCATCCCGGAAGTTCAATCTAATTCAGTCAAAATGTCTTTTTGGGAGCAAATTCACAGCCGCCTCATTTTCCAAAGCGGTATAGGTTTTGCATACCGCCAACTATTCATGCACCCGCCTCCAATCGCAGCAGGAGTCAAACTCGACGGCCAGACAGCCATCATTACCGGCTCAAACACCGGTCTGGGATTTGAGGCAGCACGCCAGTTCCTCCAGCTAGGTCTCACTCGGCTCATCTTAGCCATCCGGTCGGAAGCCAAAGGCAGCCTCGCAGCAGAAGCCCTTCGAAATGAGTTTCCACACGCCCGAGTCGAGGTCTGGATCCTAGACATGGAGGATCCCGAATCAATCTCTGCATTTGCTACCAGATGTCAGGCGCTGCGTAGGCTTGATATTGCTATTCTCAACGCCGGAGTGCAGAACAAGGACTGCGTCATTTCTTCCAAGACAGGGAAAGAGCAGACTTTCCAAGTAAACTACCTTTCAACAATCATGCTGGCTGTACTTCTTCTACCGATACTGAGAGCCAAAGGGAGGACGGCTGGTAAGCCGGCTAGGCTCACAGTAGTGACGTCTACAACTGCATATTTTGCGGATTTCAACCACGAGAAAGCAATTTTACCACAGTTTGACGAAAAGTACGATGTCACCAAATGGTATGCGCGCGAGAAGTTACTGCAAATGATTTTTGTGAGAAGATTGGCGGCGCTAGTTGACTCCGACGAGGTTATTATCAACACGGTTTGTCCGGGACTAGTTGGAGGTACGGAAATCTGGCGCACCTTAAATACAAGCTCTTTATTCAACCTCATCCTCCCGGCCTACTTTGCTTTGTTTAGTAGAAGCCTGGAAGAGGGTGCGAGTACGTACGTTCATGCTGTGGCGGTTGCAGGTAGGGAAAGTCATGGAGGCTTCTTGAGTGAGTGGGGAGTGCGTCCGTAAGTGCTTCGCGAAGATAATTCATGCTCTTTCATCATTTACTGACAGTATGTTAGATTTCCAGTTGTTATGTATTCAGAGCGTGGCGAGAAGTTGATCAAGAAAGTTCTGAGCGAAAGCAGAGAGATCTTAAGAGCTGTGAATATCCCAAAGGCATTGATACAAGACTTATAGGAGATATGTTGTAACGACTGAGTTCTCACATAGTTTCTGCCTAATTTCTTCAGATACATTATATCAACCCGACTTCAGCTTCTCTGGTCTGAGAGTGAGTCTAACATTCAAAGGAGGGCGCACATAAGTAGCTCGCACGCGCTGGTCATGCCATGGTTTCTCAAGCCATTCGCTATCTACGAGCTCGACATTGTACTTCCATAGTAGCCGGGCAATTATCTGCTTGATCTCCGAATGTGCCAGGCTATTAGCATGTTCTCAATTAGTGGACGTTCTCGTGAGGCTGTCGGAGACAAATGTTGGAACGAGGGATGACATACTTCTGACCAATACAGTTACGTTTTCCGGTTGAAAAAGGCTGAAATGCTGCTTTATTGTCGTCTTTGAAGCGAGGGTCCTTAAGCCAACGCTGAGGAGCGAAGACTTCGGGCTCGGTGAAGTTGGCCGGGTTATGGTACATTGCCCAATGCCAGATATCTACATTTGTCTATGTTTTGGATATAATGTTCAGCGAGGTGCTCAATTTTTCATAAACATCCTATTAAGACTTACCCCTCCAGGAAGAAAATAACCACCAATGACCTCACCATGTCGCTGAATTAGTCGTGGTACAGAGCCTACAGCGGCCGGATAAATACGCAAGGTCTCGTCCACCACAGCTGTGAGATACTTGAGACGCTGTGCGCTGAGGAGTGTGATTTGTTCTGCACTATCGAAAGATGTGTCAATCTCTTCTCTCAGCTTGGCGAGAATATCAGGGTGGGTGCAAAGTAGGTAAGTTGCACCGGCAAGTCTAAATCAAGCCATAGTCAGTTCTGCTGTTTTCCAATGTGAGGGTTTATCATACGCGACTGCAGTCGTTTCGGATCCGGCTACGACGAAGATGCTTGCATTGTGGCAGATTGCTTCAAAAGAAAGGCCCTATCGCCCACACTATCAGTTTCGTGACCAAATCCGGTATCCGGGCTAGCGTTGTGAATATGCTTACCTCCTTTTTCTCAACATGGTCAGCTTTCATAACCTCAATAAAGTCCGCTCGACTCGGCTCAAGAGCCAAACGCTTCTCTACTTGAGTTCTCATAAACATGTTATGCTTTGCAATAATACTCGCAGCAAATGTCTTGACAACTGGTCCTATCATTGACTCCAAGAATGGATATGCCCGCCGGAAATGCGCCATATCATGTTGCGCAACGAAGAACTCCAAAATCGTGGCTATCCACGGATGAAAACCCCTTCGCTCCATGTTTCCAAAGGACTCGCCGAAGCTAAGATCACCAATGACATCGAATGAGAAGAAGTTGAACCACTCGGCTATATCAAAGTATCGTTCCTCGGAGCAGTGCTCCTCGAAGCAGCTAAAGAGGCGATCGACGTGATGCCGAATAAGAGGCTCCTGACGCTGCATGCCTTGCGCTGAGAATGCTGAGGCTAGCAAATGGCGTTGGTGCGTATGAGACTCTGTATCAGCTCCGATGATGCCTGAAGCGACTTCAGTTACGAAGCCTGGGTGCTTGAGATTCTCTGGCTGGCCAGGCTTGCGATGTCCGTACACTTCTTTCCATGCTGTTGCGTGGAGACATGACACGGAGTTCGGGCTGGTGCGGACAACCCCGCCGTACTTCTGATGCAGTGCGAGGATTCGTTTGTGCGGTGTGCTAGACCACGACATTAAAAGAAGAGGGATCGGTGATACGGACCATAAGAATGGCCCAGGTACTTTTCTCAGTGGGTTGATGTAGACATTGTAAATGATGGACCATACGACATGTCCTAGAACCTTTGATACAGGTTAGTAAAGATGTATTCCACATCACATTTTCCTAGAGTATTACCGCCCATAAGGCTATGTATATCACCATCCACATTGATAGGATCTCTTGAGATTCAGTGATCCTTAGAATAGACCATGCCATTTCGGAGTTCATTACATGCAGAAATAAAAGATGGTCAAGAGCGCTCTTTCAATGCATGCAAACAAAGATCATTTCCCCACTCTCTGATTCTCTGGAACACCGAATTTCCAGGATATCTTGCTCCGCATTTGATTGCAATCAACTAAGTGGGTTAAACAATATTCGGTGAGTTACCAGATTAGAGAAGCCTCGCTGGTGTACCCATAGAAGGACCGCAACTAAGATTGATACACTTTCGCCTGCTCTTGCGCCGGCGAATCATGGATGTATATATGTGCACCAATTATGCAATAGTATTTTTCCCCGCTATCCAGTGCTATTTATATCTGTAAATTCCTAGAATGGAAAAAAAATCAAGCTGGCTACACCCCTGTCTATACTCCCAAAGCTTGCCATTCAGATCGTAGGCCTGAAAAATACAACTTCAACACTGAAGATGCTTTTAGTTAGCTTAAAGCTCTTTCGCCATTTTGTTGATATTTCAAGGGCGAAATACATTCTTTGGCACGGTGTACGCAATGTACTAGAACTTAATCGCCCGGGAAAGACACCGAAGTGGCTAGTCTCATAGACACACTATTGCTAGGTATCCCAGTTTTTGCATATATGCATAGTATAGTAGCTACAGCACCATTTATGATTTAGGTTCTGTACTTTACTGGGAATAGAGCGGTTTTGAAAACGTTGTATAAAAGGCTAAGCTGATTCCTAAACGGTGTAAGGGATTGAAAGCGTCAATACCAATCCCGACATCATCAACGCAGTATCTCAACACACAGGTATTGCAAACTTCCAAGGTTTGACCTATATCCATTCAACAGCATCTTCCTAAGCGACATTCTTACGACGAGGAGTGAAGTTACAAATAACCGGCTCAGCGCACTTGAGGTTTAGCTCAACCTTGATCTTCATTTCTTCCGTACTAATGTCCTCAGTCCCATTGAGCCCACACCACGTGATGCTCTCAAACTCCTGTAGAAGCCGCACTAAGATATACTGAATCTGGAAACGGCCAAAAACCCGCCCAGGACACTGGCGTGGGCCTACACTAAAGGGTAGATAGTGACCATACTGTGGCGACCATGTTTCCCATCGTGAAGGATCCCACACATCGGCATCTGCACCTACTGTGGTCTTGTTGCGCTGAAGACCTGCGACTGAATATACTGTAGAATTGAAAAATTAACTAACCGTGAACAGTAGGGGCTCAAGATTTTGATGCTGCATTTAAGTTGCAATCTTACCAATGATTTGTCCAGCTGACACAGAAATGGGATCATTTCCATCCGGGCCGCCTCCGACAGGCAAAATTGCATCTTTCCTAGCCTCTCGAATATTAAGGCCGAGTGGGTGGTACATTCTCATAGACTCTTTGACTGTATTGGCAAGCAGATCTAGTTTTCTGAGCTGCTCCACCGAAGGAATCTCATCCATTCCAATGCTTGTAAGAAAACTCTAGTTAGTATGAAATCTATAGGTTTTGCTCACGTAAGGTTTTACTTACTGCTCTTCGATCTCTTGTTGAAGCTTTTTATACAGTGTTGGTTGGCGGGCCAGGTGGTATATTGTCCAAGTAGTTAGAATGGCACCTGGATCCTTCGTGGTCATTAGTATTTAGTTTCATCAGCAACATATCCATGATGGAATTGTTGACGTGAAATAACAAATGGAAACCTATGGCTTACCTTCGAAGCCATCAACACCGCAATTAGTTGACCTCTAATAAAATACCGGTCATTCGGATGCGTAGCAACCAGATCTTCTACAAGATTAAACTCCTTCTTCGTCTTCGAATCTGTTTGATTGTTGATCGGCAGCGCCAAAGTTTTATTGATGAGATCGTTGATATATCGTGTCAATTCACGATACGCTCTAGGAACGAAAAGCCAATCGGGAAACAAGTTTGCAAGACGTCTGCAAATACACATTTCATTAACACAATCATTGAATTTGAAGCTTGTAACTTACCCGAATAGAAGGCGATTGGTGTTGAAAGTCAGAAGCTCTTCCATTGCCTTACGGAACGGCTGTTCGTTCGCAGATAGCGAATTCGTGGATTCGCCTAGGAAGACTTGGCTCACCAGGTCAAGTTGGAACTGAGTATAGTAAGTAGGAGATTCACATCAGGAAAGGCCTGCATATGAGAACTCACCCTATCAACCACATCATACACATCGACCTTCTCAGGCGAATCCTTAATCAGTCTTAGAAGCTTCTGTATATGCCTCTCAGCGGTCGGAATATCATCCGAACGGACACGAGAAACCTTTTTCACAACACTCGTCAGCCATTTCCCCCCGAAGTTCCATAGGAGCAAAACATCTTCTCACATGCGGCTCCAGCTGTTCCCTACTCGTCTTCCATAGCGGCCCATCCGCTACCCCGCGCGATTAGCAACTCCGCTCTACAATATCAAGTACTACGCACTTACTCGTAAACACCGAATCCCCCAAAATGCTACTAAAAACATCGTGCGGGGTCTGGCCTTTCGCAAAATCTGCAAACTGATCCGCCTGGATCGCCTTGATGTTTTCTGCGCGGTCAGTAATAAATATATCGCCACCGAGTAAGTTCATTTCAACCGTGCGACCGGGCGTATCGAGCACCTCGTCGCAGATGTACTCGACAAACGTGTTTGACTGTAGGCGCTGTACGAGATTCCATGCCATGTCGAGACCTGGTCGCCACATGATGATTAGTTTCACTGCTGTATTAGAGTCGCGCGCTAGAGAAAGAGGAAGAGGGATGGTTGCTGACCGAAAGGTAGTTTGTAGGGGATGCGAGGTGCATGCGGGATAAATGGTTTCTTTGCATGGTTATTATGCAGTCTAGATGCTAGAATGGCATAGAAAATGATTGCCGCTATGCCGTAGAGAAGTGGTTTTGAGATACCAACGTCTATGGACGTTAAGACGCCCATCTTCCGTTTCTTAAGCTCAGAGTCTCGTTGAAGAAAGAACCATGTGGCAAGTTATCTTGTGCAGGAAAACACCGGCTAACTGTATATCGTAGATGGTTTGGCAAATTGACACAACTAGTACTCAGGTATCTGGGGTGCATACAAGGCAGTTGAAAACTAACTTTTCAAACAATCTCTTCGTTATTCACTGCACCAGTCCACTCTGGACTTAGGCTTGCTAGGTAGAAATTCGATAGGCCATCACGGGCATCAATGACTATTCGCATGTTGAGTGCTCGGTCCTAGCATTGCGGATATCCCAATCCGGTAGTACTGACACTACTGACTTAACTATGAACCCCGTGATCTCTACGCCACTGATTCAGTATGCTCCGTTCATCAGATCATATTTCGGCAAATGCCCTTTTCATATTTGTCATTGCGCCCGCCGTACGGTAATCAAATTGGAAGGGGGTTTCCTTCTTAACGTTATGTCGGGTACGACTATGACGGACTAGACTTTTTATCTCTCTTTGCTATACAGCGCATCAGATCAATTATATCAGAAAAAAAGAGCAGGTCACATTCTAATCTACCGGAATTGGATGTTAAAAAAATCAACCTTACAATGAGAGTACATAACAAAAGGAGTTAGGTAAGAATTTACGTCAGCGGTACCCTGCTCTTGAGCCCTAGTAAGAAACCATTTAGTAATACGACTCAAATCCTTTTAACGGATATATGCCTATTTGGCACGCCTCCATTGGGTACGACAAGGAAATTAATGTTGTGGGTATGGCTATATGCAAAAATTAAATAAGCTTTGATGTGAACCCCGTTGCTAAACAGTTCGGGCTCCGAACGGGTAAGAGAGTTGTTGGCCGATAGGTTACATCATACGTAAGCGGGAAATGGATGCAATAATGCCGAATGCGGTAACTTCGCCTAGAGGGTCACTGTCACAACTGTACAAGTAATTCTCATGTTAATCTTACATTTACATAGCAAAAATGAACCAAGTGCATTTATCTTGCGTATTTGATGTTCAAAATCTTATAGTAGGGATTCAAATATTCGATAGTGCAAACGAGGTTATCTCGACGGGTCAACCGCAATTTCCGAAGTTAACCGAGAGCGCTTGGACGAGCTACACCGAATCGATGCTTCGGCCTTAATAGTAGAAAAAGTCCGTTGCATAGTTCACATGGTTACTCTGAGTTGCTAGCGTTGCCACTCCACTTTCTCACCAGAAAGTAGCATGCTAGCTAAAGAAGGAAATTTTGAATATCTTACCGTTGCTTAGCACCGATGCAGCCAATGAGATTGAAGGCTCTTGAAGCGAATCAGATTGCATTTCTTCGTGCACGAGATCCCTCTTAGGACTGATCGTGATGTGCAGGTAAACCCTTGATAAAGTTCATGAATACGTCCTTGGGTCCCATGCCGACTGAAGCGCCTCAAAATCAAGATCCCTGGTAGTGCTGTAAGTAAGTTTGGAGTAGGGTATGACATGCATGGTGGTCATTGGCTGCAGGAGAGCTGTATCACTATTACCCTGTATCCTTTTGATCACACCGTAGCTGTAACAAATTTGCATAGTGGTTTGCCTTAACGTGCTGCGTAATAATCTTACTGGACACATAGTTAGCAAGCATCAGGCTTTCGGTGATGGCAACATACTTTGATTCTCGGCGAGATGTCGCGCATTTCGAGCGAAGCTGCATGACCATCTATTATGCAGAATATATGTATTAGATGCGGGATACCCAGAATCTCATTGCCTCTTCCACCGTTCTCAACAAATTCTCCATACCTCTCTTCTCGAAACTTGGAAGCATCCATCCTCCACAAGTAATACAGGACGTTGAGGATCCGGTATCAATTGAGCCCAAACTGATATAACATCACAAACAACAATCATGGCTGCAGACAAAACAATGCCCATAGCCATCATTGGCATGAACATGAAGTTCCCAGGTGATGCAGTGTCCGCGCAGTCATTCTGGGAACTGATCATGAGCGCAAGAAACGTATCCAAAGAGATACCCGCCGACCGTTTCAAGATAGATTGCACGTAGTCCTTCTCCAAAAAGCACACTCCTCCACATGCTAACTCAAATGCCCAGCATTCTACCACCCCGACCCAAACCGCCTAGATAGCGTAAGTCTACCCAACTAACTCTAACGTCAAACAATTCAATTGACCCGAACCCCAACAGGTTCGCATCAGAAATGCACACTTCATGACTGAAGACCCCCGCGCCTTCGATGCCCCCTTCTTCAATATGTCGCACGCCGAAGCTTCAGTGCTCGACCCACAACAACGCGGCCTCCTCGAAGGCGCCTACCGCACCTTCGAAAACGCTGGCATCCCCATGGAATCCCTCTCACGAACCCCGACATCCGTCTACTGTGCCTCCTTCTCTCGCGACGGTGAAACAATAACCGGCCGCGATTTTGCGTCGCAGTCCCGGTACCACGCTACAGCCAACGGCTCCTCAATGCTCAGTAACCGCATCAGCCATTTTTTCGATCTCGCAGGGCCGTCACTGACGGTGGATACGGCGTGCTCGTCCGGCCTGTATGCACTACATCTCGGTGTACAGAGTATACTAACGGGCGAGAGCACAATGTCGCTTGTATGCGGCGCAAACACGTTTATCACGCCAGAGAGCCAAGCGCTTGCGCTTAGCAACGGCGGGTTCCTCAGCGTAGACGGCAAGAGTTACAGTTTTGACGCCAAGGCGAATGGATATGCGAGGGGTGAGGGATTCGGCTTTGTGCTGCTGAAGCCCCTAGATGCGGCAGTTAGAGATGGGGATGTGGTGAGGGCGGTGATCCGGGCGACGGGGGCGAACCAGGATGGTAGGACGCCGAGTATTACACAGCCGAGTCAGCAGGCGCAGCTGGATCTGCTGAGAGATACGTATCGTGTTGCGGGGTTGGATGTTGCTGATACCGGGTATGTTGAGGCTCATGGTACAGGAACGCCTGTTGGTGACCCGATTGAGGCGTCTGCTATAGGGCAAGCTTTCCGAGATGGTCGTAGTCTTGATAGGCCGCTTTATATTGGGTCAGTCAAAGCGAGTATTGGTCACTTGGAAGGTGCTTCGGGCTTGGTGAGTTTTGGAAGACTTCTGACTCATGTGCGTATACACATTGCTAACTGATCTGGTGTTTAGGCTGGTGTCATCAAAGCTGTTCTTGCACTGGAAAAGGCAGTAATTCCGCCAATTGCAATGTTTGAAAAGGCCAATCCTGCCATTGATGCAGAGGACCTTCAGCTCGCGGTAAGAGCCTCTTTTGCAGACTGGGAGAAGTGTTCTCATTGACTTGGTTTAGTTCCCTAAAGAAGCAGTCCCATGGCCAGTATCAGAAGTTCGCAGAGCATCAGTGAGCTCCTTTGGATACGGAGGTAGTAATGCTCATGTGATCCTTGATGATGCATACAACTATCTGCGTAGCCGCGGCTTAAAGGGCCTACATAAATCCGTCAGCGGATCTCTGCCTACAAATGGACATGCAAACGGACATACTAACGGACACACCAATGGAAGTACCAACGGGCATTCCAATGGGCATTCCAATGGGCATACCAATGGGCACACCAATGGCCACGCCAACGGACACAGTAATGGCCACTCCAACGGCAACAGCACCGTCCCATCAACAACCCCCTACGCCATCCTCCCCTTCTCCGCCGCAGACAGCGACGGCACAAAGCGCCAAGCAGAAGCCCTCCGAACCTTCCTCTCCACCCACAATACCCCCTCCTCCACAGACTTCCTCTCAGACCTATCCCACACTCTTTCCTCGCACCGATCGCTCCTCACATTCCGCTCCTTCGCCGTCGTCTCCTCCCTCAAAGATGACCTCACAGCCCTCATCTCACCCAGCATCTTCAGCAGCACCTCATCTTCGCCCGACCTCTCCTTCGTCTTTACAGGCCAAGGTGCACAGTACGCTCGTATGGCTACCGGACTCCTGCACTACCCAGTTTTCCGTCAGAGCCTAGCGGAGTGCGACGCCTATCTCACTACTCTTGGTAGCAGCTGGTCTGTTCTGGAGGAGCTCGAGAAGGACAAGGAGAGCAGTAGAGTCACAAAGCCCGCGCTATCACAGCCTCTCTGTACTGCTATACAAATTGCTCTTGTCGATCTGCTCCGTACATGGGCCATTGTTCCTCGTGCGGTAGTTGGACACTCGTCAGGTGAGGTAGCGGCTGCGTACTGTGCGGATGGGTTGGATCGTCAGAGTGCATGGCGCGTGGCTTACTTCCGTGGTGTTGTGGCCGACAAGTTGGCTTCTGACTCGGCGAGGGAATCGACAACGATGATGTCGGTGGGTTTGGGCAAAGACGCTGTCCAGAAGTATCTAAAGGCGGAGCCAACTGTGACGGTTGCGTGTGAGAACAGCCCCGTCAATGTGACCTTGTCAGGTCCAAAGGCAGCAATCTTGCGGTTGTTTGATACATTGGATGCTGAGGAGGTTTTTGCACGGAAGTTACCTGTGACTATTGGATATCACTCGGAAGCACTACGCGATGGCGCCGTTGAATATGAGGGTTTGCTGGCTGGGATATCTGCGCCGGTGAAAGATACGAAAGAGCCCAGCAAAGTCGCCTTCTTCTCGTCTACAGAAGGTGACTTCATCACACTGGGAAGTCTTGTGAGGCCGAACTACTGGGTAAAGAACCTTCTCTCCCCAGTCCTCTTCACCGATGCTGTAACAGCGCTCGTCAGCGAGCGGAAGCAAGCCACCAAATTCTTC